CCTGAGAAAACTTCCCTGAACCCCAGCGCATCTTTTCTTATAGATTTACACCGATTTTCATTCAAACTTTAGTCTAGTATCTTTACTCTTTCAATCGATTTTCATTTAAGCAATTAGGTTAGCCATTTTTCTCGTTTTTACCCGTTTTCGTTAAGTTTAGTTATTAGGTAATTTTAGTTCCCGTATTCTCTCTTTAAGATTTGTTTTTACGTTTTAAACACATCACCAAAACCCTCACAAAACTCGCCTGGTTCTAGACTTCCTTACCTTATATTTCTTTCGAAGGCTTTTGCAGGAAAGATCCTCCTTCCCTGTGGACTCGATCCCTAAGTACTACAATCGATCAGCTGTGCACTTGCGGCTATTGATTTCATTTAGGGTAAAACTTGACAACCCTCACACACGACCACATCACTAAATGATGCAAATTATGAACATATAACCTCCCCCACACTTGTCCTTTGCTTGTCCCCAAGCAAAAAGATCAAATGAGAGAAAGAGGTTAAATGCATTGGGAGTTCATATTCCTTAATGAGAGAGTGTATCACTAAAAGAGTTCAAGGCTCATTGTCCTAGTTGTTAATTCTAAGATGCAGTGCAAACAAGATTACTCACAAAACTTTTGCCATACTCATCACAAAATGAATTAAGCTCAAGCTTAAGTTTTCACAAACAGCCATTGTTCCAACCTTTTGACATTCATTAAATCTCATGAGGATCATGTTTATGCAAATCATGTGAACTCACTTGTCTTGGGACAGGGTTATGAGACAAAGATGATCTCATTCAATGCTTATGGTTCCAATGCAGCTCAAGGGATCACTCAAGAAGGAATAAACTTTAACAGAAGGCTAAGGGTAAAAGGCAACTGGTGCATACAAGAGTAGAATCCCATCTACCCAATGCCCCAAGTTGGTCTTTCACCTTAATTCGACACTCATGAAGATCACACCCTAGCTACTCTTCTCTCATGGCATTCATTGCCTCATCAACCCACTCCTCACTTTACTCTCATTCTTTTTTTTTCCTCACCACGGGACTCATATTTTCATCTTCAAATTCAGGCTTTGGGGTCTGAAATTTTCACTTAGCTTTTTCTCACATAGCACTGTCTAGACTCTTTTCTTTTCTTTTCAAATATCTGAGCCTTTTGGCTTCTTTTATTTTCTTTTTTTTTTGTTTAACTTAGAGGCTAGACTTTTCTTTTCAAAACACAAGAGCTTTTCTTTCTTTAAACAGCAGACCTCAAACTAATTTCTTTTCTTTTCCATCCCCTGGTTCTCATCTCAAACTCTCTTTTTTCACTCAGTGTTTCCCAAGATCTCTTCCTAGCCTACTCTAGACTCATGATGCAGAGCTAGATCTACATGAAACTCTACTCTTGTCGCCCTAAACCCAACACTTTCTGTCAAGTTTATTCAGAAAAAGACCTCACATCTGTCACTAGAGTGTTTCAAGCTTCAAGGAAGGTTTGGTTCAAGGCAGGGAACTGTCTCAAGATGAGAGAACAGCTATTTGAGCTAACAAAGAGTGGTAAAAAGGATAAGAGAGCTCAAATATTTTAAGGGTACCCATGAGTTCACAATGACATGCACAAACATGATAATTAGATTGTCAAATTATGGTTCTCACTTAGATAAGGCTGGAACTAATCAAAGCTTGACTCACTCAACAAGTTCAAAGCATGGATCAGTCTTGACTTCTTTCTTGTTTACATGCATCAGAGAACTAGAAACTAGGGCAGTGAACCGAATTCTTAAAGTGATATTCTCTCCAAGGAAAAACCTATCATCACTCCCTTGCATTGATGCAGCCTATATGAATATGCAACTAGACTCAATCCTAAAAATAAGAATGCAACTACATGAGCATTTTTTTTTGTGAATTTTTTTTGGTTTTTATATGCACTTAGATGCAAGTACATGAATGCATGCAAGAATGTGACTCAAGACTCAAAGTAAAAAAAAATAAGAACAGAGAAAACATGATTAGTAAAAGATGAAACTCCTCCCCCACACTTAAATAACACAGTCCCTTGTGTTATAAAAGCATGAAGGAGAAGTGCAAAGCAAAATCACAAAATGCAAATGGAAAATAAGCTAAGCTAGATGCATATTTACAAAGATTTGGAGGTTACCTGATCATGGGCTGAGAGATGGGGCTGGAGACCCCATGTAGTAGGACGGGTTGGAGGATTGGTCTGATGGAGATTCCATTGCCTCTCTCTTTGCCCTCAGCTCGTCATCATCAGAGTCTTGCTCACTAGGGCCGGCACAGATCCTCAGCATCTCGCCTTGGTGAGAACTCTCACCAACCTCTCCTCCTTCATACCTCTCCAGCTTTGCAATGAGCTTTTTAATCTTGGAAGCCATTTTCTTGACCGTGTCCACCAAACTGTTTACTGTACTGAACAGCTTCTTGATGTTCTTGTCTTGCCAGCGGTTCCATCTTCTCAGACTCTTGGTGCGGTAATGAGCTGCTGTGGTTGCATAGACAGAGTTCTGACCAACCAGTCTTGCCATCATAAAATTGGAAATTGTACCTCTTGCTCTCATAGACAGAGTTCTGACCTGCTGCTTCATCACCATTAGCATCCTCAGCGTCTTGAGACATAGTAGTGTTCTTTCTCAGTTTGTTGATTGTGGGACAAACCTCAGGGTTATAGTACATCTCCTTGGTGATAAAGAACTTGATGTTCCTTTTCTCAGAAAGAGAAGTGAGGGATTGGTTTGGCAATAAGACTTTTACCTTCACTTCCCCAAGGGTGAGCTTGTAAGCATAAGAACTCCCCACAGCTCCTTCAATGAAGTTTGTTTTAGCAAGATGCATCTGATCCATGAGCTTAAAAGCCTTTGGCTGACCACTTAGTACAACTCCAGAATGTAACAAGATGGGAGTAATCAAGCCTCCTATGCGCATTGAGGGGTTCTTGCAGGTGGTGTTGAGAGCCCATTTTCTTATGGAAAGAAAAATTTTGATAAGTAGAGATGTCATTGTTGGCTGGTAAAAGGATCCATTGAATGGAATTCCACTAAAGAACAAAGGCATATAGCTCTTAATACCCTCACCAATCAGCATTAGCTCCTCATCATAAACATGACTGAACTCTGCCTTGCCATAGAATGTCTGAGCAATCACCTTGTGCACCACTCTGAGTACTGGATTTCTGATATCTGCTGCTTTGGCTTTACTACTCTTGTAACCGCCACTACCAATTGCATCCCAATGTTGTGTCTTGTTACTCCCATAGTACCTCAGCTTCTTGGTGGAGCACTTTCCTTCAGTTTGAAAACCAAAGCATTCACAGACCTCTTTGAAGGTCATCTCATAGTTCTCCTTGCCAATTTTGAACTCAATCTTGCCACAACCATCTTCAACCTCAGCTGGACCCTCATCTGAATAGAACTTTGCTTGCAAAGATGCAAGGAATTGGCAAGTCAGCTCCTTGTAAGATGCAAGAGTCACCTCCATAATGTTCCCAATACCAATGTTGTTAAGCACAGCTTGCACATCATCATAAATGACCCTTCTTTTTCAGCAGTTCAACATCAGGGTACATGGTTCCTTCATGGGTCATAGCTTGGAGCTTCTTGAGGTAATCAGAGTAAGTGGCTGGCTTTGGCTTGGTTTTCTTGACCACCTTCTTTTTCTTTTGAGGCACTGGAGCTAGTGAACCCACATTGTCCTCTTCTCCACTAGTCTCAACACTTGAGGCTCCTTTCAACCCTTTTTTTGGTTTCCTTGAGCCTCTTGAGCTTGAAGCAGCAACTTTTCCTTTCCTTTTAGACCCAGCAATAACCGCCTGAGATTTCTCCCCTGAACCTGAAGCAACTGCTTTTCCATTGTCTCTCCTTGGTACTTTCGGCAGCAGAACAGGGTTTCCTTTTCCCATGGTACCTGATTAACAAGGTCTCAAACAGAGCCATTAGCGCCATGGAGAGAGATTTAACCTCAAAAATTTTGAAAATGATTTTTCCTTGCAAGAAAATCATCAGGATAAATTCAAGCAACATCATATCAATCCAATTCAAGCACAAACAACAAAATCAAAGCTCCCCAGAATTTTCTAAAATCCCTACAGTGGCTCAAGAACACAACTTTCTCATGACAAGTAAAAATCAGTGTTCAAGTGACAAATCAGCCCAAGTGAGTTCTTTTCTAGCTATCTACAACCTAGATTCCAAGGTTCTAAACACAGTTCAAGCTCATTCTCAAGTTCAAACAGAATCCATTTCAAAAAATAATTCAGAGAATAGCGATGTCCACCAAATGAACCAAACAAGCTTTTTCATTCAAAAATACCTTGGAATCAGTTGAAATGATGCAAGATATGAATTCCAAACTTAAAAATCCAGCAAGAACAGGCAATTTTAATTGAAAAAGAGTGAGCTTTGAGAGAGCAGAAATGGTGAAGTTTCATTAAAGTGAAGGAGAAGAGAGAAAGAACCCAGTTTTTGTGTGGTCCAGGGCTGCTTTTGGAGTGTGGGAGACAGCTGGAAAGGGCTGGAATCTTTGACCTTGACTGAGGCTGGCTATGGACCGCTGGGTAAAGGCTGCGCGTGAGGAAATATCGACATGCATTTGGTCGATATTTTGGTCGATATTCTCTCGGGATTCTTCTTCATTTTATCGACCAGAATATCGACCAAAACTACCTCGGTATGTTTTAAGTTTCTGCTCATCCAGCTACATACCGAGGTCCAAGAACTCGATATTTTGGTCGATATTCTCTCAGGATTCTTCTTCACTTTATCGACCAGAATATCGAGTTGGTGCAAGTCGATATTACCTTAAAAATCGTTTTCTCATGCCTTTTCAACCCAAATTCCTCTTAGACAGCTCTACAAACACCTTAGAACCTGTACACACTTGAGCAGAACATCAAAACATCCTAGAACAACAAAAGAAAGCATTAAAAAGAGTATTTACAAAGGATAAGATTAGGGTGTCTCTTAAGAGCACTATGTTTAAAGTCTCTAAGTTTGACTTTGAGAACCTGTTTAACAGGCTGGTGGATCATCAAGAGGAACTGTAGAAGCCTCTTCTCTCTTCTCAGAAACAAGGTAATGCTTGACCCTTTGTCCATTCACAACAAAACCCTTTCCATCCTTTCCCTCCAAGACCAATGCTCCATAGCTTCTAACCTCTAAAACCCTGAATGGTCCTGACCATCTTGACCTCAACTTACCAGGAAAGAGCTTGAGCCTTGAGTTAAACAAAAGAACCAGATCTCCCACCTTAAACTCCCTCTTGAGAATTTTCTGATCATGCAAGATCTTGGTCTTCTCCTTGTATATCCTTGCACTCTCAAAGGCATTGAGTCTGATCTCTTCAAGTTCATGCAACTGGAGTAGCCTCTTCTCTTGGGCTATCTTATGTCAAAGTTCAACATTTTAACACCCCAAAGAGCTTTGTACTCAAGCTCTACTGGTAAGTGGCAGCTCTTTCCATAGAGAAGTGTGAAGGGAGATCTGCCAATAGGTGTTTTGAAAGCAGTCCTATAGGCCCAAAGAGCATCATCCAACTTCTTGCTCCAATTCTTCCTGGAGTTGCTCACTGTCCTTTCTAAGATGGCCTTTATCTGTCTGTTTGAAACCTCTACTTGGCCACTGGTCTGAGGGTGATATGGACTAGCTATCTTGTGCTTGACACCATGCCTCCTTAGCAGCCCCTCTAGAGTCTTGTTCACAAAATGAGAACCTCCATCACTTATCACTACTCTAGGAACCCCAAACCTTGGGAAGATGGTGGTTTTGAAGAGCTTGACCACCACTTTAGAGTCATTGGTTGGGGAAGCAACAGCCTCAACCCATTTGGAAACATAATCCACAGCAATAAGTATGTACTGATTCCCATATGAGCTCACAAAAGGACCCATGAAGTCAATACCCCAGCAGTCGAAAAGTTCCACCTCCAAGATGGGATTTTGGGGCATCTCACTTCTCTTGGAGATGTTGCCTTACCTTTGGCACTGATCACAACTTGATACAACCACCTGAGCATCTCTGAAAATTGTAGGCCACCAGAACCTTGATTGTAACACCTTGGCCACTGTCTTGAAAGCTCCTAAGTGACCTCCATAAGCTGAGCCATGACATTCCTGTAGTATTGGTTGCATCTCTTCCTCAGCTAAGCATCTCCTATACAGGTGGTATTTGTTCAGCATATAAAATAAGGCTCATCCCAATGATACCTTTGCACTTCCTTGAAGAACCTCTTTCTCTGTAGGCATCTAGTTCAGGTGGCTCTACACCACAAGAGAGATAGTTAACAATCTCTGCAAACCAAAGGTAATCTCCTCTCTCTTATAGCATCAGCCTGTTTCCACCTCTAAGTAGGACTTGACAACCATTAGATGCTCTTCAGGAAGTGAGTCATCTAGAGGGACTTCTGATTTCACTCTCAGCCTAGAAAGATGGTCAGCAGCTCCATTTTCAATGCCTTTCTTGTCCTGCACTTCCATATCAAATCCTTGCAAGAGTAGATCCCACCTCAAGAGTCTAGGCTTGGCGTCCTTCTTATTCATAAGATACCTGAGGGCTGCATGATCAGTGTACACAATAACTTTTGATCCCACAAGGTAGCTTCTGAATTTATCAAATGCAAAAACTATGGCCACCATTTCCTTTTCAGTGGTTGCATACTTTTCCTGAGCAGAATCAAGGGTCCTACTGGCATAGTAGATCATATGAAGTTTTTTGTCCTTCCTCTAGCCAAGCACAGCTCCAACTGCATAGTCTGAAGCATCTGTCATCACTTCAAAGGATAATGTCCAATCAGGAGCCTGGACAATTGGTGCACAGATCAATGCCTCCTTGATTTTCTTGAAAGCTTCCTCACACTCAGCATCAAAAACAAATTCAACCTCTTTGCACAACAGCCTTGTCATAGGCCTAGCATGCCCAAGGAAGCTTCTTATCGCCTTGACTGAATTTGGGGCTTGCAGATTAACCATCACTTCCACCTTTGCTTTGTTCACTTCTATTAAAGCTTCTGAGACCTTGTGCCCCAACACTATTCCCTCTTGTACCATGAAGTGGCACTTCTCCCAGTTGAGAACCAAGCTGTGCTCCTCACATCTCTCCAGGACCTGAGACAGATTAGACAAACAAGAGGAGAAAGAGTGTCCATAGACTGAGAAGTCATACATGAAGACTTCTACTTTCTCCTCAATCAGATCCGAAAAAATAGACATCATACAACGCTGGAAAGTAGCAGGAGCATTGCACAGCCCAAATGGCATGCGCCTATAAGCAAATGTCCCATAAGGACAGGTGAATGTGGTCTTCTCTTGGTCTCTTGGATCTATTGGGATTTGAAAGAATCCAGAGTAACCATCTATAAAAAAAAAGAAGGGATGGTTTGCAACCCTCTATAGCATCTGGTCAATTAAAGGCAAAGGAAAATGGTCCTTCCTAGAGGCTGCATTAAGCTTTCTATAATCTATACACATCATGTGTCCAGTTATAGTCCTTGTAGCAATTAGCTCATCCTTTTCATTCTTTATCACTGTCATTCCCCCCTTCTTGGGCACCACATGCACTGGTGAAACCAATCTAGAGTCTGAGATTGGTTAAAATATCCCAAGCTCTAGGAGTTTGAGAATATCTTTTTTTCACTACCTCTTTTAAGTTGGGATTAAGACGCCTTTGGTGCTCAATGGATGACATAGATTCCTCTTCTATGTGAATCCTATGAGTGCATAGGGAGGATGAGATACCCTTTATGTCAGCCAAAGAGTAGCCAATGGCTCTCCTATGTTTCCTCAACTCTTCTAACAATTTATGTCTTGGTCCTCTAACAGCTTATCATTGATAATGACAGGATAAGACTCATTGAGACCTAAGAAAGCATACCTGAGCCCCTTGGGAAGAGGTTTGAGTTCCACTTTAGGTGCCTTGGTTGCATCCCAATCTCCTTCCCAAGCTGTTTGAGAGGCTTGTTGCAGCTGTTCTCCTTGTGGTTCACCTTCAGCATTGTTGTCTTGCTCATTAACCAGCTCTTGACCCTCTTAAGAACCCATTTCTTCCTTGGCCGCCGAGGGAATATCGACCATGTAACATGTTGACATTCTGGTCAAAATTTTGGGCTCCCGAAATATTGACATGTCATAGGTCGATATTCTGGTCGATAATCTCTCGGCGTTTTTCTCGGTTTCAAGTTCTTCACACATAGACAAGGTTTCAGAAGATATCGAGGTGCCACTAGTCGATATTCTGGTCGACAATCTCTCAGCATTTTGGTTCAAAATATCGACCAGATTATCTTGATTGGGCACGCCGATATTAATGCGAGAACTTGAGCTTTCCAAGTTTCCAAACCGATCACTTCCCACCTCTGGACCTTCATAATGCGGGTTCAAGTAAGAACCAATGCTCTCCTCTGGTTTGTGAGAGTCTAACAGCTTCATGAGCTCTAAAGTTTCATCCTCAAGATAGCCATGATCTCCATGTTCCTTTGTTAAGGCTATCTGAAGATGATCTTCAGTGTTTAACTCTTCCAAGAGCTCATCAGCTAGCTCATCCATGGTCTCTATGTAGAAGCATTGTCCTTCTATGGTGGGCTTTTTCATCATGTCCTTGATATCAAACTTCAGCTTTTCTTTACCAAGTTGTAGCTCAATGATGCCACCTCTTACATCAATAATTGCTCCTGCTGTGGCCAAGAATGTCCTGCCCAAATTTAGTGGATCAACAGGTTCTTCATCCATCTCTAGAACAACAAAATCTGTAGGCACTTCAAAACCAATTATCTTGACTGGTAAGTCCTCTAACATCCCAACAGGTAGCCTTACTGATCTATCAGCTAGGACAAGAGAGATTCTAGCAGGTTTTAACACTCTATATCCAAGTTTTTTTGCTATAGAAAATGGCATTAAGCTGACAGATGCTCCCAAGTCACAAAGGCACCCAGAAAACATCAATGGTCCTATAACACAAGGGAGAGTAAAGCTCTCTGGATCAGACAGCTTTCTTGGGACTGAAATTCTCTGAATTATGGCACTACACTCATGGCTAAGCACCACCATACCCTGTAGCTCTTTGGTTTTGTTCAAGATAGCATCTTTTAGGAACTTTCCAAGCTTAGGCATCATTAGAAATGCTTCAATGAGAGGCATTGTAAGTGGTATCTCATTAAGAGTCTTCTCAAAGAGTGCCCTTGCTTTATCTACAAGCTGCTTCTTGAATATTCCTGGATATGGGAGCTTAGGTTGATAGGGAGGTGGTGGAACATAAGGCTTTTCTGGTTCTGGTGTCTTTTCCACCTCTTTGGCCTTCCCTTTCATTGCTCTTTCAGCTTCTTGATCATCCCTTGGGGCTGCCTCCCCATCAGTTTGATCATTGTCCTCAATGATCACATTGTTATGTGCTAAACCTGGTAGCTCTTTGCCACTTCTCAATGTGATGGCTTTAGCATACTCTTTAGGGTTTGGTTCAGGCTTACCAGGTAAGCCACCTTGGTTTCTTGAAGTGGATGCCTGATTCTGTTTCAGATCCTTGATGTCTTGCTGCATAGATGCATACTGACTTGCAAACATTTGTTGACCCTTAATGACTAATCAAATGATCAAACAAGAACTAAACAATTGACAAGTGATTTGAATATGAGATGATGGAAGCATGAGATTCTAGACATGATATATGGCTAGGGTGCTTTGGTGCTAAACCAGAAATGCTAATGACAATGATGAGACATGATTCAAATGATTTAGAACTCTAATCTAGATTAATCCTCTCATGACGGCATTAACCTCTACACTAATCCATTTTCAAACCAAATCATCATTTGTGAAATATGAATCAATGAGCATTAAGAAACAGTTCTAAAAGATCATTTATGAAAATAACAAGACATCATCATGCAGCTAATGCATAAACCTCTAATACAGCTCTTTCAAAATTTTCATTAAACACTTTTGGTGCATAAAATTCCCAGAATCTAAATCACAAATGATGTACAAGGATGCCTAGAGAGCAGCTGTTTAGAGAGATGAATCAATGAATCTAGCCCTAAGCACTCCTAATCTAACACTTTAGCATCCTAACCTACACATCTAGAACCTCATTAAGGTGACTACTCACTAATCATACTAATCTCTCTTAAACCTTTGCAAGTAGAGTAGATTGGCATGATTAATGGATGGAAATGATAACAGAGATGATAGACAAGATAGATTGCAGCTTTAAACACATAAAAGGTCTTTGATTTCTCTTGATTCAAACTCTCAAAAACAGATATTTCTCTTCAAAAGGAGTCTTTCACAAAAGAGGCAAAGAAATTAAGGGAAATAAAGCTTAACCTAATGATTAATGTCTCAAAACTATATATAGGAAGGGTTTTCTTAATGAGCCAACCCTTAACAAACAGGATATTGGCCCATTAAGGCCCTAAAATTCGGACTGGATCGAGAGAAATATCGACGTACCATATCTCGATATCTTGGTCGACATTTTTGCAAAGGATTCTTTAATGAGAATATCGACCGTGGGCTTGGTCGATATTTTGGTCGACATTTGATAACACCGTATTTTGACCACTTTTATGGATCGTTTTGAAATACTTTTTCTATGTTTTTAATTTCTTTTAAGTACTTTTATCATGCTTTTCTAGTATTTGTAGTTCCAAGGGTTTAGGGTTTAGGGTTTAGGTGCAAACCGTCAGAAGTTCACCCCTGATTGAAGGCCTTCTCACCGTCTGATCCAGCTCAAATTTGGAGACCTTAAAGATGGAAGTATCAGCTTTCAGGCACACTTTACAGCTTGGCAATCCAACAGTTCAATCAAAATATATGCGAAGAGCAAGATGTCCCATAAACCAGCCGGCAAGCAATTCCACCCGCGGCCAACAGGCCATTTCCCGCGGTCAGAAGCATCCCAACCGCGGCAAACCATCCATTCCCAGCGGTCACAGCACTCCCGACCGCGGCCAGCCATC